TTATATTTCAAATTTGCACGAAATATCTCAAAAACTGCAGGGGATGTAAAGAAAAAATTTCAATGCAATGTATTTATGATAATTCCATAACCGTGTAGACGGCGACTATGCTAAACAATAAACGAATGAATTTGGTTTCTATCACAATATTGACCATGAAATTATTGCCATAAGAAATGCATTGTAAACTTCAAGGCAAAAATTCAAGATTAACTACCAAATACAATATTCATTATTTGATATCTCCGATTTTGTAGTTCTTTTCTCTAGGGAGTGACTACAAAATTCAATATGGCGTCGATAAGAAAGTCGAAGGTCGAGGTCAAGGTCATCCTCAAGGTCACCATCCAATAGCCCCTCCTTACAATTGAATCTCAGGTAAGTTTTCTTGTAAGGGTCAAGGATACTATATAATATAAGGATTGCTCGATCACTGAATTTTTTCGCCGCGTGTAGTGACGTCACTCGCGGACCCAGTACCAGCGCATGCTTTGATTAAGGCCGATTCCCATTATAGCAGCATCGAGCAGCGCGGCGCGGTGAAAAGCTGCTCTCAATTTTTCGCATGTAAATAAGTAGATCCGTTTTCACCTATACTTCATTCATTATAAGAAGGTAGTAGATGGCGCTGGGTTTGAAGATAAGCACACACAGGAAAAATATAAAACTGCACCAAATTATTGTAAAGTAGAAATATCTAGCACTGCAAACACAAATCAATCTTTGACATTAACAGTTAATGACACTTCAATAGTTTAGATGCCAACAGAAACTACCAGCTTGCAAAATTCGCCACTCGTTTTATGTTTCAGTCATGCTTCGTCACGCTTCCAAATGGTGCTTAAGTGGGAATACCCCTCTACAATTTGCAATTTGCTGCTAGCGCCGCGCCGCGCCGCTCGGTGCTGCTCTAATGAGAATCGACCTTTAGGATTACCATAAAATACGTTCAAATGGGTGTTGTAGGCAGGCATTTACATTAGAAACATTTGTCCATTAATCTCGCTTGCAGCACCATATCCATTCCTTGCGTATTAATCCATCGGTTTTAAGGAAGTTATGGTAAATGACTTCCGGGTTAGTGATTTTTGTGCAAACACGGTTGTTGTTACAGTCTAATATTGCACATCGGCGTCTTGGCGTCCATGCAAATACGTTCACAACTTAGCAAATTATAACTGTCAATTCTGACAGCCAGGTCCGTTGGTGACGTCACATATGACTTAAACTTGGGCAACATTACAAGTATAGGGATCGAGCAATCCTTATATTATATAGTATCCTTGTGTAAGGGTGGTCTTTGCTGTATCCCCACAAGAAAAATCAAAGAAAGTGAGATCTTGGAGGCCAATTCAAGAGTGTATCATCACTTATGGCCTTTCCGTTGGTTTCTTTTTACAAGTGCAGCCACTTTCCCGCACATTTCTCTTAAAATTCAAGGAACACTTGCAAATAGAGCAATTACTAGCAGGATCTTCATTAAATCTGGTTCTAAATTGAGGTTGGTTAATGTGATAATCCAACACAAAAAATGCCTTCCTGTCTTCAAATGCAGCCTACTGACAACAATTAGGTATCTTAACAAGCAGCTGATACCAACTCGATACCAATCCCAACAAACGTAAACAGAAACAAACAGTTACAATACTTATTCAACAGAAAATCGAAACAAAATAGGCATCTTATATGTAAAAAGCAAACAATATGCCTAAATAACTTACTCATTTCTCTAACATGTAGAATCAATCTTGCCACAAAACCCAAGTACTCTTCTTTTGTCTTTGCCTTCTGAAATACATGATTTTCCATTTCCATGCTGTTACGTGATGTAGGCATACGTGACTGGCGAATTGCTTCGTCACTACAAATCGAAATTAAAACATATTGGCAACAATAATTTGTGAGCATCACTTACATTTTCGACACAACACTCTGCCTGAAAGTGGCAGTCCTCCAAGAATCGTCAGTCATATTAAATAATCAATCCTGGCAATACTTTAGAAAACGAAATTTTGATTTCTTGATAGTTTGAAATTACTTGCTGAGGAAATCTTTGGAAAACTACCTACGTTTACGGTTCACCACAGCCTACATAGAGTATTTTTCTACGAGATTTTTACTCGTAGACCACAGCAGTCTCTGCGCTGCGGGTTCACTAGTAGATATTTTGTACCACATAATTTCTACTGCGTGACTAGAACTATTTAGATCTACTACCAACTACCGGTATATCCGTGCACTAGTAAACTTGGCAACGTTGGACGTATCTCTACTTAAATTAACGAATTACATACAGTGTGTCCCAGGTAGAACGCACCATAGGGAAACGGTAAGGTATTTTTTCGAGAAGGATTTACGAGGAATTTGAAATTAGCGTTCAACGTACTACCCCAATCCCTTTCTACCATCAGGCAAACGCATTAACGTTGGCTCGTTGTTTCAATTTTTTTTATGATTCTTATTTCTTATTGTACATTGTTCATTAAATTCTTAAAATTTTTCTCACTTTAGTTATTTTACTTTTTTCCATTTTTCAAATCCTTGCACTACTCATTCTTTCGGAGTCTTCGGATTTTTTTAATTATCTCGATTATTCCACAATACACTGTTCAACTTCTTCAAAATTCCATATTGTTCCAATCATATCAAATCAAATAAAATTCTTTACATTTATGGGTTGTTCGGTACGAATCGGGAAAAACCGAAAGAGTGCAATAAGAAATAAGAATCATAAAAAAAATTGAAACAACGAGCCAACGTTAATGCGTTTGCCTGATGGTAGAAAGGGATTGGGGTAGTACGTTAAACGTTAATTTCAAATTCCTCGTAAATCCTTCTCGAAAAAATACCTTACCTTTAGAGTTTTAGATTCTTTTTTTCTTTCGTTTCTTTAATATTTTCCGATTTTTCAGGTTCTCTGGATTCATCAAATTCTTGGAAGAATTAGTATTCTGCTTCTTTAGATTCTCCAGACCTTTAGAATGCGCTGGATGCTGAAAGGTTCCACCTTATATATACAATCTACGACGCGATGTAAAAAAAGATTAAACTAAAATTTCAATTTAATTTTTAATGTTAAATATTGTATTTTTAAAAAAAACATACATGCATACATTTCTAGATTCATTTTACCTTTGAATATAAATTACATTCAAAGATTTTACCTAATTGATCCAACAACGAGGACTTTAAATAATTTTGAAGTTACCGCATTAGTTTTATACAGTCGGATACAAATTCGGCAAAAATAATTTTTATTGTTTGTCTTTGTTTTGTTCAAGAAATGTTAAAACCTACCTGTTTTTTTCTGCTACGGCAACTAAAAGAAGTGCTTCTTCTTCGTCAGACGAGAAATAATTCATTTGAATGTCAATTATAAAATGACTCCAGGTTTCCCATTATCCCCGTACTGCGTTGGTGTGGGGGATCCTTTAACCATTTTTTGCAAACACGTCATAGTCATTTTCGCCTCCAATTTACCTACTGCGAAACTTGGATTATAAAATACATCTTAGGTAAGTATGTACCTATTTTCAAAGCTGCCAAGACGTACAAAATAGAAATATTTGCAATATTCATAACACCACCTTGATTATCTAAATTTCTACGTCTTGATGATAGTTATTAAATAAAAAACCATTTCCAAAGTGCTCTCAATGCTGAGGGCTAAAACAATTCAATGCTAAAACCCTTGGACGGACGGACAGAACCAGAAAAATTATAGTTGCAGTTAGGTAAGTATTGATGATCGAAGTGAGCGTTAGTAGTCAGGGGTGAGTTTTCTTTGCTTTATTAGACCCCCGTACACGGTTCAACTAGTTTATTGCAACCCGAATCGGAAACTGTAGTCGGGCATACAACGGTTTGGTGACCTTAACCATATGGACTATCATCGACAAAAGTAATGATCATCGGAAGCTTACTACCACTTAGGCAACCGACCATACACTATCTAAAATGGCAACGTTGAAGTGTAAGTTTTCCGACGGTGATTCGTGCGCTCGGTACGGGCCGCATCGCGTTGCGTTTTGTCGTTCCTTCTTAGCTGTTTAGTTAATCCATTGTTTATTAACCTTCAAACTCTAATTTACATATCTTTTGCGACGAAACTAGATTCCTTTTTACTTTACCAATAAGAATTATCTCCAATTATTTTTTTGCTTGGGTGGGGTATTTTTCTTTCTGTTACTTTATCATTCTTGTTACAAAGAGAATAATATGTGCATCCAATTTTCCACAACAGTTGCGTCTTATAAACGCGCCCATTGATAATGACTGTGGGGAAATGACGCACATCGCATTTATTCCAATCATCAAAATAAAACTTGAAGCTAACATGAAAAATATTTGTCCGGGGGAATGTTCTCAGAACCTTGACACTTTTTGCAGTTTAAAAATTCTACTGTACATGCGTGGACACCTTATCCACAGCAAACTTCAAGAGCACTTCTGTAAGTGCTGCAGAAGAGGCGTGCTCAAAAAAACACAAAAAATATCAAGATCTAGAGAAAGACTACTTATATATTTATGGGACTTGCTTTCGAGACACTTGGCGCATGGTGCAAGGAATCACGAGATTTTCTTAATAGAATAGCCAGAAGTTTAATTGCGGAATCCGGCGACAAACGCGCTAAGCAATTTTTATTCCAAAGGATATCCTTGGCTATCCAACGCCATTGTTTAAATACTTTAAACAATGCCAACGCGTAAATAGTGCCTGTATCCTGGGCACTCTCCCGGCGGAAAAACAGTTGGACGTAATTTATGTTATTGCTTTCTTTGTTACATAATTTTAAATATTTCTTTTAATAAATATCGGTTCAATTTATATTAAAAAAAATTCTACTTGGGAAAAAATTCAAAATAAGTCCAAAATAAAAGCTACCATCAGATTGTGGACAAATACCAGTCCACCAAAGACAAAACTTCACAACTGAGGGAATGTACTTTCAATTGGATTAGTCCAAAAAAAGTATAGAAAAAGGAGAAATTGTCTGTCGTTTAGCACCTTGTTTTATTAATTACAATTATGAATCTACAAATAATAATTTAAAATGATGGTTCGATACGTCTTACTTATACTCACTCACATTTTACTACATTAAAGCTTGATAATACAATTAAACACGCTGTTGTAACAATTCTTCGGGTAAATTGTACAAATTAAGGACCGGGTAGAAAGGGGGAGGCTCTGCGAAATTATCCGTAATTGTCGCTGTGGCATGAGGAACACTGGAAAGCATTGTGACTGTTGTCGGTTGCGGCGGGGCTAATACAGTACCGGGAGGATTTCTTTGTGGCATACCGGTGGGAGGAATGGATTGTGGTTTACGAACAGTAACGCTGGTGTTGATACCGTGCCGACGTTTCATATGTTTATTGTAATTCGGCCAGTTGGTGAAGTGATGCTGACACTCGAGGCACGAGTAAGGTCTCTCGCCGGTATGCTGTCTCCTGTGTGTCGTCAAAACACCTTTAAACCGAAATGATTTGCCACAATATTCACAAGTGAACGGCATGGCGCCGGTGTGAATGCGATGATGTTCTTTTAAAGTTCCTCTCTCTCGGAACTGTCGCCCGCATACGTCGCATTGGTGAGGTTTTAGACCGGAGTGTACAGAACTATGTTTTCGTAACCGAACGGCGGTTTTAAATGCTTTCCCACAGGCGTGACACGTGAACGGTCGAGCCACGGTGTGAGTCAGCATGTGATTGTCTAAATTGCCTTTTTGCACAAAACTTTTGCCGCACTGATCGCAAGTGAAGTCACGAATACCCGAGTGTATCCGTTTATGCGCCATTAGATTCGGTCTGGTTCCGAAACGTTTCGGACACTGATCACATTGATGCTTATTTTTGACCTCTGCGGGTAAATGCGATCGGGCATGTACCAACAGAGAAGATTGTACTCGAAACCGTTTTCCACAAGTTGTGCAGGTGTGAGGCTTTTGTTCATAGTGCGAGGCCCGGTGTTGCTCCTGAGCACGGCTCGTTCCGTACCATTTGCCACAAACATCACAGCAAAATCGAAGATGATCTCGATGAGTGCGAACGTGCCCAACAAATGTACTGTATTTTGTATACATTTTTGGGCATTCTGCACACACATACTTCGGTGGCTGGTCATGCACGAGACTATGATGATCTTTAAGAGCATCTGCGTTAGGTAAAGCTTCTTGACAATCCGAGCAAGTCCATGGATACTGATCCCAACCCTCTAAGCACCGACGTAAGGTGACACTGCCATCTTCGTGCCATTCGGCATCACTCGTACCTGAGAGTAGATCCTCAGAGTCCGAGCTTATGGAAGTTCTTTTTTTAAGTTTGACCTTCAACAAAAACATAAATGATTATCATTACGCAATAAGGACGATATGCTAAAGTAAGAAGATTGCCTTTTATTTACACTATACAGTGATATTTCTTAAGAAGTAGACAAGGATTTATATGTGTATTGTTTTTCCCTATGTCTACTTTTAAAAGACCAACTCCTTCTGAAAGGCGCGTAATTTTATGCAACCCATGCGCACGCATTCTGCACTGCTATTCTGGATTTTGCAGTAGTGCACATCAAACGCTTAATGCAAACTGCGTGATTAATTTTGTACTCCTTTTAAAATTTCACATAAACTATTACCGGCTCTATACCAAATTACAATATCAACTTTTTCTTCAGGTTGTATCGGGTTGAATACATCGCACACGAATAAAAATAAAAGCATGTTGCTTTCAAATTAATTAATATGACAACCAGATCTTTATTTGTTTTAAAAAATAATTTTGGTTGAATAAAATCAGGAGCCCTTCAGAAGATTTTTTCATGTTCCCAAACCCCCTGACAATTGAGTTGCAAAATTAATTATAATTAAGTCCTCCAAGATGTTTTGAAATCAAAATTTTCAAATTCTCATAGTACGTAAAGTTTGAAATTGGATTTTTGCTGTATGCTCAAGTAATAAAAGCAACTA